TAAAGATGTATACATCATAGAAAAACTATTAAGTACTATTATCAAATTTGAACCGCCGAGACCGAAACGTGACATACCGCAGTGCTACCGTTGTCAAACGCACAGCCATACGAAAAACTACTACACCAGGCCCCCAACTTGTGTAAAATGTGCATGGCAACCACCTTACAACATCGTGCTCACAACAAGGAAAAGTAGAAGACGTAAAGTGTAGTAATTGTCAAGAAAAACATCCCGCAAACTACAAAGGCTGTGTAGTAAGAAAACAGTTATAACTAAAACTATTCCCCACCGTAAGGAAAAGAACTCAACGAACAGAAATAAATAATAATCACTTACCGCACACCGTAGCATACAATCCGACACCAGCTCCCACAACTATCCATGATCAATACTTGAACACAAGCAACTGCAGTACACAATACACAACAAAACCAAAACCAAACCTCCGCCACTCACTCACACTACCACAACGAAAAAGAATCTACAGAATAAAACAGCTACTAATCCAATCGATAAAAAACACAGAACTCATAACTAACATGCTATGAACACAAACTACACTGCTACAACAGCAAACACAACATATAACTTCCATGATAGAACCACTAACAAAAATGGTCAATAATAACAAATAATGGATCGTTCAGTCAAAATAGCAGCATGGAACAGTAACGGGCTGCAACAAAAACTACAAGAACTCAAAGTATTTCTCCACACATATGACATCGATATTATGTTAACTTCGGAAACTCACTCCACAATTAAAAATCATGTAAAAATCCCACATTACACCATTTATGACACCGAGCATTCATCAGGGAAAGCACATGGGGCAACCGCCATCATTATCAAAAATAGCATTAAACACCACCTAAACAGCAACACCAAATACGACTACCTACAAGCAACTACAGTAACAATAGAAATCACAAATGGAGAAATACAAATATCAGCCATCTACTCATCCCCAAAACACAAACTCACTCTGGAACAATACGAGAACTTTTTCCAAAAACTGGGAAATCAATTTATACCGGCAGGAGACTATAATGCCAAACATAGACACTGGGGATAAAAAAAGAACATCACCCAGGGAAAAACACTACAGCATGTTATAGAAAAACTGACTTTAACAGCAATATCTACTGGCGACCCCACCTAGTGACCAACAGCAATTGACAAAACACCTGACCTCATAGATTTTGCAATAACCAAAGGACTAAATAGGACGCATCTCAAAATATCGTCAAATTCGGAGTTGAGCTCTGACCATAGTGAATAGTGAATAGTAGCACATGGTCACCCGGGGGAGAGGGATGTCGGTATCCCCCTCCTATGGTCTGTTTTTCGAAAGATGATGCCTGGGAGGTAGGCCCGAGTTTTCGCGGTGTTGCCGCGATCGCGAGACACCTACGGCACTTGTGTCTCTCTCACTCTTCGCGTCTTAGTCAATGACGTGCGACCGTCGACGTGAGTCCTCGCTTACGGTCGTCTGTCTCCATCACACGTATTACAAACCTCTCGAGAAGGACCTACCTAGAATCTCAAGGAGTGGGGACTGCGTGCGGCACGTGGCCGTCAATCATCCATTGTCTGGAAATGGCGGAGAATGTTGACGAGACGCAGAACGTTTTCACACGTCAAAAGTTAAAATACATGAAAAGAAAAAGTTTATTTCTTTTGAAAGAATGTATTGTACCCAAATATTGAGCAACATATTAAAAGGGGATTAAACTAATACGTAGGTTGTTAAACGCTACACGTGGAAATTGCATGGTAAAGAAGGAAGTTGGTTTACCGAGCGTTTGAACGAGAGGCTCTCGTGCCGAAGTGCTGGAGGTTGGAAAGAGACACACACTGGCAATGAGACCGTCACAACGTTGCACGAAATACGTAGCTCGCGTTGGATCCCCGCCAGGCCACGCGCCGAGGCAGGCCAACCTCCCAGGCATCATCTTTCGAAAAACAGACCATAGGCCGCGAGCCTGGCGCTAAAGTGCCTGGCCTTCACAAAGACTATGCAGTCTAGGGGCGGCGTTACCCGGGGTAATTTTTCCTCAGCGTTTCCACCCTTCTCAACTTTATAAGGCCCAGACCACTTGGAGAGTTCGAGTGTACTTTGCTCGAGGGGTGGAGTGTCATTAGGTCCCTACTTAATATGTTTAGCTAGTTGGAGTAAGACGTTGGGACAACCGATCCTTCGTCTCCTAAGGTGAGTACCAGCTCACTCTTGTCTTCACCCACAGACCGAGCCTGTACAAATGAAGGTATCATCGTCTGTAGCAACATCATTGGGAGAGAGCTGGTTTGCCTTCTGCAACCCTGTTAAGTGACCTGCCTATATCCCGATTGATTCAGGAGCCCCCCCTCCTTCTCTGTTTCCCACTTTAAAGCTACCACCACCCAGTTGTGTTTAGGAGGGAACGCTGGTAGCTCTGACCATACTCCAATACTGCTAAAATATATGCAAAATCCATTCGAAATAGATAATACGCCCACACTATGTAATAATACCACAGACCGGGCAGGTTTAGAACAATGATCAACGAAAAACTAAATTGTAACATCCCACTAAAAAAACCAGAACACATTCAGAATGCAGTAGACTACCTAGTAGTAGTAGTAGTAGTAGTACGTTTCTCCCGGGAGAGGGGAAGTGCGATTTCCCCCCCAAGGCCCAGCTGTGGCTCAAAGCGCCGGTAGCTATCACACAGCCCCCGCCACGTTAGCAGGGGGGCTGCCGTGGGCATTACCCGGGGCGATTGTTTCCCCCGGTTTTCCAACCCGACCGACTTTTTTAGGCCCGGGCCACATTCGTCGGGGCAACCGATCCTTCGTCTCCAAAGTGAGTACCGGCTCACTCTTTGCTTCACCCACAGACCGAGTCTGTACCAGGGGTGGAATCATCGTGCTTGCGTACGTTCCATCATCGAGAGAGAGCTGTGTCGCCTGTTTCAACCCCCTATTGTTCTACCTGCCTATGTCCCGAATATTTCAGGAGCCCCCCCTCCTCTGGTACCCCTCACAAATCTACCACCCCACACAAGGACAGGGAGGGAGTCCCGGGACTCCAACAGAGATACATGGGGAGGCCGTTCTAGCGGACCTCAAGGAGAGACGTGGTCGGGTTCGGCGATCACCTCCCCTGGGAGCCGCCGTGGACCATAAATGAATCCACCGCCAGTATGAATCTAGTCTAAATCTATAGCTGGGTGTGTGAATTTAATAGAATGGAAAAAAAAAGGTAGAGTAGATCGCGCCCTCCCCCCACCCTAGAGTTTACAAGGAACGCGACGCGAACGGTAGCCCACCGGACTTCGCCGAAATTTCCCCGAAGAGGAAATATCAGTTTCATCAGGGACCAGCGTCCGCGTTCTGGGTCGCAGGTCTCGCCCCTCCCTAATGGTCGACGCTCTCTCTCTCAGTAGACTACCTAACACGAACAATCCAAGATGCAGCTTGGTCGTCCACCATCGCCACCGATAACAACAAAACTGGCCTAACATATCCGGATCATATACTACAAAAGATAAAACAAAAGAGAAAAGCAAAATCACAATGGCAACAAAGCAAAACAAAAGAAAACAAAAGACAACTGAATGCACTTACCAAAAAAAGTAAAAAAAATCCTACAGGAGCACTGCAATAAAGAATTTAGCAAATACCTCTCAAATTTGACACCAATAGAAGATACAAACCATTTACTTGGAAGACAACAAGAAGACTAAAAACACCAATAGTGCCGACACCAGCAATAAGAAAAACGAACGGTTCCTGGACAAGGACTTCCTAGCCTCTACGTTCGCAGAACATCTACACGAAACCTTCCAACTAAACATCATGACAATAGGAGTAACAACAACAACAACAAACGACATCATTGACGACGAAGAACAAAACAGCACTATACACAGAACTACAAAAAAAGAAAAAAACGATTGATCTGAACAATGAAAATTAACAAAACTCCGGGCTTTGATCTAATCAGCGAAAAAATAATCAAAAACCTCCCAGACAAGGCCATCAGAATGATCACCATAATATTCAACGCCGTATTCAGAATTCAGTACTTCCCGAGCACATGGAAAGTGGCTGAAATAATAATGCTGTTTAAACCAAACGAAAGCATTGACGAACCTTCCTCATATAGACCCATTTCTCTCTTACCAATATTGTCCAAAATGCTAGAAAAAATACTTCTAACCAGAATCAAGAACATAATCAATACCAAGCAACTAATACCAAATCACCAATTTGGCTTCAGAGAAAAGCATGCTACAACCGAACAAGCCCACAGAATAATCAACAAACTCACGACTGCCTTGAAGAATCGGAAATACTGCACATGCCTATTCTTGGATATAGAAAAAGCGTTCGATAAGGTTTTGTGGGAAGGCTTACTGAAAATTATAAAACAACATTTCTCAGACGCAATCTACCAATTATTAAAATCGTACGTTAACAACAGAACATTCTACATAAAAATAAAAGACGTGCTCAGCCATACAAGTAATAAACGCCGGAGTACCACAAGGAAGTGTATTAGGTCCAATACTCCACACTTTGCACACAGCAGGTATCCCAACAACCCCAAACAGCACAGCATATACATTTGCAGACGACATCGGAATAATAGCAAGACATGAAGACTCACAGGAAGCAGTTAAAATCCTACGAAACCACATAAATCATCTGGAAAAATGGTTGGTAGACCGGAGAATAAAGGTAAACTACAACAAATGTAACCATATTACTTTTACCATCCGTAAAGGAAATACTCCAAAAATCACACTACACAACAATGAAGTACCACAAACAAAAGTGGTCAAATACCTGTGATTTCAACCAGATACAAAATTAACTTGGAAACAACACATAAACAAACAAATACAACAGATTAAAATTATAAGAAAAAACATGTTCTGGTTAACCAACCGATGCTCGAAACTAAGCACAGAAAACAAGTTACAGATCTATAAAGTCATAATAAAACCGATATGGACGTACAGCATTTAACTATGAGGTACAGCAGCCAAAAGCCACATCAACAAAATGGAAGTCATGCAATCAGTCATACTACGAACAATAGTCGACGCACCATGGTACATAAAAAATTAAGAACTACGGAAAGACCTACAAATCCCCACAGTAAAGGCGGAAATATAGCGATTATCCGACAGATACAAACTGAGAACTACAAACCGTCCAAACCCGCTAGCCAATACTCTATACACCGACAGCACCATTAGAAGACTGAAGAAAAAACAACCGCAGGACCTACATAGTCACGCAAGTTCAAATACAAACAATCTGAAACAGTGGTACTCCACTGAGAATAGCACCCGCATGCTATCCTTAACAACTAAGCCAACCCGCCGAATATCCTATAGGACAAATTGCAAGGAACCATCAGGGGTTACAAAACAAAAGTTTAGTGTTTGCAAGACTGTACTTACACCACTTAAAAAAACCAGCTCATTTTTTCAAGTCGAATTAAAGAACTGTTAACGTTTCTAAATCAATGAATTTTCTGTAAATACTTTCAGATGAAAGAAGTGTCGAAATATTTTTCCAAACAAGCAACAAACAAACAAAATTCCGAACGAAATGGAATTATTAATGTTCGCAACGATAGAAGGAAAAGAGACACTTGTCTTTAATTCAATCGAAACGTGTTTTTATCGAAACTAGGAGTGGTCTCTGTAAACGCGTCAGAGAATCATCCTTGAATACGAAACAGGAATTCTGGAAAAACATAATACACGCTGACAATTGCCAACTCGCAATTAAAATAGTCGGACGATTTGCGTGACATATTTCTGTCCTTCTTCACCTCAATGTACGTTACAAGCACATAACAAGAATGGTGCGGTAAATCTATCCACTTGATACGCTATCAGTCAAAAATATAAAATCAGATCTGATAATTACTAGAAGAAAAATATATTATCCTGGAGAAAAACATCTCCGATGTTTATGCAACCACTTTAAGGTTTGTGGAAATAAAAAACATGTCTTTAGTGTTATAATTCCAATAGTTCGCACAGATTGATTAAAATGGCATGCACTATTATTCCTTTTAATTTTAAAATCTCTAATTGTCATCATACTATAAAATTCTAAGTATTCTGTAATGAGAGTAAGAACAACAGTAACCGTAACGTATTCTAACGACCATTTATTTTCTACTAACCTAATAATATGATTGATTGACACGTCTGACTATTATTCACTCTTTCTGTAAGTAATAAACACAGATGATGGTACAGTATGATCTGTTATGTTCTTTTTATCAATTTATATCACGTTATTGTGGAAGCGCCTAATACTATATTGTGTCCAATATGTATATAAATTCACATGATTGCCAATAGAAATAATTGTTAACGACCAAATTCTATATATTTAGTTATAAACCAAACTCCAGAATTTCATTGTGACGGGATAAACAAACTTATATTTTGTGGACAAAATTTGTAACAATTTATTTTCCAAAAATTTCATAAGACCGGAGCATAGTTCTATCCTTAAAAAAATATTTCAGATATCATCGTAACTTTTATCCTAAAACATAAAAAATTTCTCTCGACTATGTAATACTCTTGATAAACTAAAAATAAAATTCTCATTTATTAAATTTTTGTAACAACAATGTTTTATATTAAATATTTTACACTCTTCAAGGTACACACCAACGTATGAAATACATACACATTAAATTTTTAATGGTGTTCTCACTCTGAGGAATCAGAAAGTAGTACGAAGCAAAAATGGTCAGACAGTTTTACGATGGTCCTCAATAAACTGGCACAGTTTCAAAGAAACCAGAATTTTCAGCTTGGCAGAATGCAAACGAACTCTTCTGTCACACTCACTTTAATTGCGTTACCCTCGACGAATTTCGCCTCTATTATCAGCATGTTCGTTCCAAGGAATGAGAAAGTATAACGCGGAGGTTCTGTAAGATCAGGGAAATAGAAAGAATGAAGTACTATAGGAATTTCCTTCTCAACAATAAACTCTTGAGTGAAAGGGGCTCTACAAGTTGAGGCCGCGCTGTCGTGACGAAGCAACCATCCATCACTTTAGGAAAACTTGAAATCGTTTTCCTCCGTACCTTTTTCCCGTGAACGCTGTACGCTGTACCGCTGTAAACAACGATGAACCCACGTATCTACTACCAATGGCACAACGTGCATTTCGACTCTACTTTTAAGAGAAGAATAGAATGTCTTAGTAGTTTCATTTTAATTTATTTATTTAATGCCGAATCAAGGTGACAGCCATTAGCGTGACCACTTTGAGTTACATCAGTGTACATTAATCAATCTACACTAATAGAAATATTTGCTACATCATTCTCATATTAAATATGTTATCACATATACCTCTCCTATACATATACCCTTATTGCGAAAATGTGTAGTTCCCTATTTTCGTCAAAATAAGTTCTGTATATGGCTTTGCAAATTTTGTATGTTTCTTTGCAAATTGTGTGTACCAGTTAACAGCATCTCCTAACTTACAAAACATAGTAAAATAGAGGTTTCAATATTTAATACTATTTACGTATTAGGTGTATGCCGAAGTAATGGCCATCGCCAATATGTTAGTATTTCACTTCCATTTTAGTTTATCAATAGAAAATTCAACTTTTGCCAGGTACATAGTGAACAATTATAAAAAGTGAGTTGAACTATTTCGAGTAGGAAATTCTTCCATATTAAGATTTGCATACAGAAAATCAGCCACAACTTTTGTGAACATCTAATATTTAACTATTATTCGAATAATAAGATCCACCTGAATCAATACACTCTTCCGGATAAGTGTCTTGATACCATGTTCAACGATATTCACACTAGGTTTACGGACATTTCTTATACTCCTATTTGTACGGACACGCGTCAACGAAATGCACATTTTCTTTGAAAAACAATTTATTTTTTTTTAATACTGAATTTACGATAGCATCAAATTGTCGCGTATCTGTAGAGATGGGTGTACTGCATAGAGAGTTTCGATATTAGAAGGCATTCGAAATGCGTCAAAATGAAGCGTCCCGTAAACCTAGTGTTAAAATGGCTGAAATGGAGCTACTTGAAAAAAGATATTTGAAGAATACAGGGGAAAAACCATAATAGCGCATTCTAAATCGAAATTGCGTTTTTAGCATCATGTGTTACAGCTTAGGGAAAGCGATCGAACTGTACTATAATAAATGAAAAAAAAACGTGCATAGATCAGAACAATTAAAAGCCAAAAAATTTTGGATTTAGGAATAAAAGATCAACATCACAATTCTCCAATGGATGAATGATCAGAGTTCAACTCGATAGATCAAAGCTTGGACTATAAAACCAAATGTCACTTTTTTCATGAACGTTTAATGTTCTTAAAAAAATTCAGAAACAGATTATATACAGGAAGAATATTGAATTTTTGATCGTGCATAGTGAGGGGCAGTTCAAAAAGTTTGTTTTTCAAATACTCAAAATTTTACATTCTGTAATTATGATCTTTTTTCCTTTGGATTCTTCGTTTATTATGCATTAGCCTAATTTAAAATCCATAGTCTAACTTTCGCTATAATTTGTAATGACTATAACGAATGAAACATTGTCGACGTCGGAATCATTTTCAGTTATTTGTACTTCGTTTTTCAGGCAATACTGATCGCCCTGGTGCTCGGTATCATAATCGTCGGAACAGTGATCGGCAACATTCTGGTCTGCGTCGCCGTGTTTCTCGTTAGGAAGCTACGTAGGCCCTGCAACTACCTGCTGGTGAGCCTGGCAGTTAGCGATCTCTGCGTCGCTCTTCTGGTAATGCCGATGGCATTGCTCTACGAGATCTCCGGTAATTGGTCCTTCGGCGCAATTATGTGCGACCTTTGGGTTAGCTTCGACGTGCTCAGTTGCACGGCCAGCATCCTGAACCTCTGCATGATCTCCGTCGATCGGTGAGTGGTATCGTGGTACCACAAGTTTAATGCGAAACTAGACTATCCGACAGATGACTCGTTTACTTTGGAAATTATTCGATCGTAGTGAATGGAACAGATAGTTCCTTCACACGAAAATTGCGTTACCAAGTTCATTTGTTCGTACGTGCTATCGGTCAAAAGTTTGTAATAAAAATTTAGTGAATATTAGGACACTTATTGAGTATGAAGTAAATGTGATAAGGATGTTTATGTATAGATTTTTGTGAGTGCATTGACAGAAATTGGGGTCCAACAGAAATTCACTTACCTTGTTTCGGTTTATCTTATAATATTAATATTGTAAGGTTAGCCCGTGATAGGCACAGTTAATTCCAACACCCACTGTAGGCACAGTGGTGGGAATCGGGATTTTCAAACTTTGTTGTCTCACAGCTTCTAGAAATAAGTAGCATTATTTGAATAAAACGTACTTTTTTGATAGAAAATTTCCTCAGGAATCGATCGGTGATACACACATTTCGTAAAAAGTTTTATGTTTTTCATAAATGTTAATTAAAGAGAGTAAGGTTTCGAAAATACTCAACACTTAAAATTGTTGCTGGTGCGAAGTAGCACCAGTGTGCCTACTATGGATTAATATTATTCACCTTACTAAGGGGTTAATCCAAGTCAAAATAAAATGCACCTTTTATTAAACTTTCTTATACTTTTCAGTATACTGACTTCTAGACAATGTTAAGGATATTTCATACACGTATAAAATCCGAAGCAAAGTAGACTGCAAAATGTTCTTGATAAAAAATTTTCTCAGGAATCGATTGGTGATACCCACATATCGTAGGTCTGTACGTAAGGCGTAAAAGACTGCGGAAGTTTATGCAAATTCACAATTTTATAGACTAGTAGTAGGTACATAAAAATTAAAATTGGACAGAGTTTTGTATTCTGTACTAGGGGTTTGAGTATGGTAGACTTTGCATAAATTGTAAATAGCGTTAAACGTTACAAACATTTTTATTTTATTAAGATCTTTATGTCAGAATACGCTGTAAATATATGAACATTCGTAGTCTAGTGATAAGGCCATACGAAGTTATTGAAGGTCGAAAATAAGTATTATTTGGGCTTACATTTATGCTAACATAAAATAAGAAACGTAATCCAAAGTATAAGATATTTATGAAATATTAATTTTTCTTCTACAGACCAAGTGTCCTAATATTTATGAACAGTCAGTACATAAATTAACTGCAACTTGTAATTAACCTGTTAGCCAGGTGTTCTTTCAAATCTAAACAGCTACAGAGACATACATATTTAAAGACGACAGAAGTTAATCCAACGAAGATTCTGCGTCAATAAACATGATTACAATATACAGGGTATTTCACCTAACTTGACCACCTTAAATATATCGCTTATTTTGTATGATAGAAAAAATATCAGGGGAGAAAAATATTCTGTTCGAAGGCGCCAATACGGTGATGGGCCGAATTTTTTTCTCAAGGTCATTTTTTTCGAGATTTCAAGGTCATCGAATTTTTTTTAGATGGGACTACATATTTTCACTACAACACTCTTATAGCATATAAAAAAAAAATCCAACGAGGTGCAATATGTTGACCTTCACGTGACCTTTAGCGAAAAAATCATGAAATGTTTGTCAGTAAGCTCAATACGCGTTCGGGGACGGTAAATGAACGAATTTCAATTTCATTGCAACAGTTTTTAGTTAAATCTGTATTTTAGAAGGTGTTCAAAATGTGCACCATGAACCTGGATACATTTTTGGAGGCGGTAAATTAATTCTTGCTGTACATTTTTAAGTTGCTCTGCAGTAATTGATCTACATTCATGTAGAACCCTTTGTCGCATGTTTTCTGCTGTTGTGGGAACATCATTGTAAACTTTACTTTTTAGGTGTCCCCACAGAAAGAAATCAAGTGGCTTACCTTAACCCTAAGATTTACTTTGATAATAATGCTTGTAAACATACTTCAGCCGATGAAAGGAGAATACGAATGTCTGTTTACAAGCACAAGGGACAATTACACGGTACACTGTTCCAATGAAATTGAAATTCCTTCATTTACCGTCCCCGAACGCGTACTGAGCTTACTGACAAACATTTCATGATGTTTTCGCTAAAGGTCACGTGAAGGTCAACATATTGCACCTCGTTGGATTTGTATTTTTATATGCTATAAGAGTGTTGTAGTGAAAATATGTAGTCCCATTTAAAAAAAATTCGATGACCTTGAAATCTCGAAAAAAAAAAAAATGACCTTGAGAAAAAAATTCGGCCCATCACCGTATTGGCGCCTTCGAACAGAATATTTTTCTCCCCTGATATTTTTCCAATCATACAAAATAAGCGATATATTTAAGGTGGTCAAGTTAGGTGAACTACCGTGTACACTACCGCCCACAAATATTTGTCTTCCCATCGAAGGAAGTTTTACTCGGTTTCATTTTGCATTTAACTTTGGCATTTTCAATAAATGATCGTAGATATTTTGCTTGCTTCGTGGTCCCTATTGCAAAGAAACCATTCTTTTGAAAAATTTTCCACATATTTTGGTAGGATGAGTCGCATCATCTATTTTGTATGATCCTATAAATACTACAAGACCACGATGCTTATTTTCAATTACATAAGAAAACGTGACCACAGTATCCGTATAAACCGAGTATATTTATGTGCGTAACTTGATGAAATAACGCGGTATATTTATTCTACACTCGACACAATTCGGTCCACTCAACGAGGGTAGCACGTCTTCGCCAAAAGTTAGAGTACATAAAGGAGACGAGCAGGAAGAAGGAAAACAGAATCTTCGCTGTCGTCGTTCGACACGACGCACACGGGGAACAGACCGGTTCTATTTAATCAGTCGCGAATTCGTATTTTGTTAGTCGCCCCTGTATAAATCCACCGTTTCTGACGCAGATTCTGTGCGATAACGAAGCCTCTGAAATACGGAGTGAAAAGGACACCGCGGCGGATGATCATCTACGTCAGTCTGGTTTGGTTAGGAGCAGCCTGTATTAGTCTGCCGCCTTTGCTGATTATGGGAAACGAGCACACGTACTCAGAAACCGGACCGTCCCACTGCGTTGTCTGTCAAAATTTCTTTTATCAGATCTACGCAACGCTGCTGAGCTTCTATGCGCCTCTTTTCGTCATGATCCAGGTAAGTTGTTCAACGATTCTTTTGTTAGGTAATTGTACGATTGGTGAAATGTATTATACAGGGTGTCTTCGAAATAGGTATAAGTGCTTGAAATAGGAGATTCCTGGGGTGATGTGAAACAACTTTTTCCTTAGCGACAAACTTCTCCGAGGCTTTGTTAACGAGATATTAATGAAAAATCCAGACCAATCAGAGCGCGCGTCTGCTGACTGCGCTCCCGTGGTAGCGTTACGCGGTTACGCGTTGCGCTTGTTATTTTCATTATGAAGAATTCGAAGCACACTTGTTTTGATAATACCAGAACCTCGTGAAATCTGTCATGTACTGATACGAGCATTTTCTGTTACCGCTGTGGGGTACGGGAGTACAGCAGTAATACACACGTTTAAATGACACTCAATTTATTCGTCTATCTGTACAAGATCTTTGCGCGCGCGACGAAGTTCCGTTCAGTACTTCGATACAGCCAGACTGACCTCCTCCGTCGTTACGCGCTAGCTTAAGAAGGGCGAAAAGAAAAAGGATAGATGGAGTAAAGAGAAAAACAGACGACGTAGGGGAGGAACCCGAAAATGCCGGGAAACTTGGAGAAAGTTTCGAGAGTAAAAAGAGAAATCAGCGTACAATAAGGACCACACAAGCTGGTCACCAAATGTGCACGGGCACTAGACCTTCACGACGCTGTAAGCAGGAAGTTAAAGTCGAAACAGAGAGAAAGAATCGTCGTAGAAAAGCTGAACAAAGAAGGACTTTTTGGAAAACCCAAGGACCCTCGATGAAAGTGGATGTAGGAGTAAGAACCCCGGGTCTCGCCCGAACCTGGTTACCAAATGTGCATGACAATAACCAGACTCGCACGAGACCGTGAGAAACGCTAAAACGAAATGGAAAGAAACAAGGACGTGGTGGCAGTCCTAAGGCCGCCACACCGCTGCTAGGACCGCAATAGTATTTTCTTCGCAGGTAGCGGTTTTGGTTTCGTTACTTTGGTAACGTTAAAACTTCCGCTTTTTCGAAGCGATGTATCTCGAATATCAATCGACATGAATGATTTTGTTCAGGATATATTTCGGCATACATACCTAGCTATAGCTCTTGTTGCATTTCTACGGCACTCACCAAAAACTAAAAATATATCCACTTTGTCACAATTACTAAAATTCCTTTTTACTTTTATCTTACTGAGATAGTCACGTATAAACACTGATGATAACTTCAATACTGAATCACGGACAGAATAGGCGATTACGATTCCATACGCAGAATTGGTCATGTTGATAAACATTGTCACGCAAACTCCGCGGTTTTACGGAAATCTTTACTGGTATTGAATCTCCAACTTGATATTACGCACAGACCATTTTCAATGAACAAAGCGACATTATTCTTTAGTTATTAGGTTTACGGCTAATAAAGATGAGTACTTTTTTACTCAAAATTTAACACTCTACGATATTTTGGCATAAAGAATATAGCATTCCATTTAAAGAAACAAAGTTGACCTTAAAGTTTCCGAAACGCCTCCACTGGCTAATGTATCCCTCCAAACCATACAACTGTTCTATAAAAATTTTTTCATACAATGCATACTTTAGAAGTTATTGAGGGTGAAGAGGTTGCGTGGACCACCCTGTATAAGAAAATCTAGCATAATATACTATAAAATAAAATCTGTAGTAAAAATTAAAAACCAACATAAATTCCGTCAAAAGGATCATTATAATTTCAGTAATGGTAAAATAGTAAATCTGTAATCCGTCATTTTTACGGGTTTGGTAATACTAGTGTTCTAAGTAAATTGACTATGTATATCTCTAATTCATATTCCAAATCGGTATACTGTCTGATAATAATTGTTACATTAATTTTAAGAAAGCCGAATACATTATTCTTTAAGAGTATTTTGAAGGGTTGAAATTATACAGAAAATAGTCGCAAATAGGATAGAATCTTTTTACATTATTATTAATATTTTATAGCTTATTGCATATCGCGAACTCAAATATATCTGTGTACTGTAAATCGATAAAGTTTGATGTCTAACAGTAACAACGTGAAGAAGGAAAAGCAAAAAAATGCAATACCGAGAAAATATAACATAATAAGAGCAAATTACAATCACATATCAACATTAAATATTTCATAATGGAAACTACAGTTAATCATTTGCTATATACACGACAACAAATTTTTCAATTCAACTTATTCTATTTATTATGTGGCAACTTTTTCAACATCTGTATGCATATAATACTGTAACATATGAAATATTGTATACTCAATACGCCATAAGTTGCAAGTCGTTAACATCTTTAAACGAAGCTTAAAATACAAAAAACGTATGAAGCTCTGTTCGTTTCGAAATTTCTCGTCGTAATTCTAGCCTATACACATGTGACCAAAACTTTGACACAATACGAAGTTTCATCCTAAAGTAGTATGGACAATTAGCTTTAAGAACCGGTCTTGAAAGTCCAAAGTACTTGCCGCGGAACAGCGTCACGAATTGTTAAGCTTCATTGAATTAATGGAGACGCTGACACCGTAAACTTATTATCGGACCATCGAAATTTAATAATATATTGGCCGACAACGAAGTTAGTTATCTTAATCTAGTCAAGCCTGATTAATGAGTTAGGAAGTGTATTACGTTACCAAGTGGGTCGTTCATAAGGTATCGACTACGATGAGTATAACGTCGACTAAATTTAAATCGGATAAATAACTACGTACAGAATTTTTGCAGGGGTTATACTTGAGATTTTTACATACAACTATTCATTTCAGCAGTGTAACTAAAAATATCTGAAGAACTTTTACAATATTCCACATTATTTGACCAAATTTTTTGGTATAATTAAAGTAAAGAAATATTTATACTTGAAATTTTTAAAAATAGAAAGCAATGTCGAAAAATACTTTCCTATAAAAATATTCAGTAAAGGAAATGAAAATTTACTTAATGCCGTTTTTATAAGAAAAAATGAGAGAAGCGTGAATATGTTTAGAATGGTGAAATTACTTTGTTATTGTTAAGTTAAAACAATAATATATGAAACTAATATGAAACTTACGTTTCGAAACATGCGAATTATTTTAAGTACAATTTTTCAGCAGAATATTAGATTGTATGTAGATAGTGAGAAAAGGTTATTCGATATGACACTAGAATTCTGATAATCCGGCACGTATAGTTGCGATTATGACCATGCCCACATACGAGATATAGAATAGACTTAACATCTTATCGAACTTCGTGTAACGTGTTCCGAAATACCGATCGTGCAAAAAGCAGATATTTTCTTGTCCGTTATGAGAACGATGAATTTAGGAATTACAATTAATTACATGTAGTACATTCAATTCAACTTGAGCTCATTGTAAGCCACCCGGGCTCTCTACGATTCTTCCTCTCCAAATTCGTATAATATACACTATTCGTATAGTATAAACTTACGAAAATATTATGAAGCTTTGAAGATAGTCAGGAAGATTCGCAAGTTATAGAAGAGGGAATTGTTTATGATGGACAAGTTACACTATTTTATAAGTCTAAATAATATTTAAGGCTATCTTTATTGAATTTGTGACGTACGTTGTAAAGCGGCCGCCTAGACACCGACACTTTCCCACCACCTAGGAATCGCCACTACGGATAAGCATCGTCGCCACCGTAGACGAGGAGCACCGCCGAACCTAGGATCCCAGGTGACCACTTAGGCTCCGACTAGCCGTTGCCACCATAGATGAAGGGCACCGCCGAACCTAGGATGCCAAGTGACCACTCTAGGCTCCGACTAGCCGTCGCCACTGCCGATAAGGGTGCAGATTCCAAAAAGTGGTATATTCCAGGATGTCGCCTACGCGGCGCCAAAACCGAGCGTTCCCACCAACCAGCCCCCACCAACTTTTAAGAAAAATCAGGGATATATATATATAGAGGTCCTAGCGAGCCCTAGGACCACTTCGCGAGCGAACGTCAATAGTAACGACATCTTCTGCATCCTAAATTTCCGATGTACAGTGTATACCATAACATTTTTATATAGTTGATGGTAAGAAGAACACGAGTGTCCTTCACCACATAACAACGTCGCCAGTGCGAGGGGAATTGTGCCGACTCAGTCGGTATGCCAAGGATCGTTTCAACGAATAAGCTTGAATTACATTTGGATATACACTTGTTTATTCACTAAGGTATACTTACAATGATAACTTACTGACTACGGTTATATTCCTAACAGTAGCTACGTCACATTGGTGAGCTCGGTGGCTCTTAACCTAACTAACTGAACTTAACGGTACGGCAATCGCAGGAGTGGGCTTCGGTGGCGTTTAACCTCACTTAACTAACGGATAACGGCCTATTTCTATCGGTACGTAAAATCGCGGTAGTGAGCTCGGCGGCTCTTGACATAAGTCATTAATCATTAGACGGTATCATCTTAACGGTACGGCGACCACGGTTGTGAGCTCGGCGGCTCTTAGCATATCTTAACTAACTATTCGACGGTGTTGTCTGAACGGTACGGGAATCACGGGTAGGGTAATAATCTAAGAGCTGGCTACATAGATGTCCACGTAACTGGATGTAGTCACAATTCTTACTTGAAAAGGTTGGATTAATATTGCTGATGTTACAAGCCAGGGCTAAGCGGCTGCAAAACCCGAGGAAATGGTGAGTTTGGTTTTTTTAGAGTTTGTTATGTGGACGAACCTGTGCCTATTTCATTACAGGGAGCCACTAGGAAAGATTTTTGTGGACGAACTCGAACCTATTTCATCTCAAGGAACCACTAGGATTGTTAGTATGGACCTCATAACTTTTAAAAATTCGGTACTCTTCGGTAAAAGTGTGCCTTTGTGGGTTCGCTTCTAGCTGGAAATATAGATGTTATTCTAGAGTTGAAATGAGCAACACTGAATTATAAATATATATAAACATATAAAAGTATATTCAATAAGTAAAGGTTTTACAAGTGTTACTGTAAGGTGTGGTC